CATCCAGGCGGCCGTGACGAGGGTGCTCGCTGGCATCCCAGTAACGAAGCATGGAAAACACGCTGGAATTGTTGCATAAGTGCCCAAGGGGACTATTTGAAGGGGATGGTAGAGTTGTAGAATAATTTTGAAATATACGGTTTTTATGGAATCAGTCTCATTATTTAATTATCACACCTTGAATTGACGCTCCAGAGGTTCCGAGAGGTTCTTATACACCCTCTTTATAGTTTGAACCTCGCACCAAGTGATTACCATGTCTATGGTAAGAGATTTGGTTAGTGAAGGAGATGCATGTGAAATCAAACAAAAAGTTTAAACAAAGTCGTAGTTTGATTTCCCTGACTTCAGTTGATACTATCTTATATAGTTATTTTTCCAGCGGTTCGCTAAAAACGATTAGAGGTAAGCGAAGTGTGAAGTTATAAAATGTTATCATACTGGAAGCTTAGAAAATTAGCTCATATCGTCGATGAATACACGATTTCTGGCTAGTCGCTGCCACTTATATTGCTCCAGCTTAGTTTACAACTGGCCTAACGAGGCCCCTGGATGTTGCTTGTAGTTTTGCGTTATGTTCTTCTTAAGCACTGCTGACTGGTGCCTAGTGTGCAGTTATAAATGTTGGCTCCAGTGATTTGGAATTGTTTGCAATTGATTCATACGAGTGACATCGCATAACTGCTAGTACTTCTTCATCCACTTAAGTTAGCGTTGGATATAAATTGTAGGCATTACCTGAAACATTGACAGATATCAGCAAAAATTCTGTCAAAAAATATATCTTCTGCTTTAGAAAAAGCTATTAATAAAAGCGTTCTCAACCACAATGTGCTGAAGTCTACTTCTGTATTCGCAATCGGACCCTCCTTCGGAAGTAACTTTTTTAATGAGCTTTTAGGTTTTCTGTATGCTGCTGTTTTTGATAATGTCCCATAAGTATCCAAATCACTTTTCAAATGTTTCCAATTTCGGCTCGTTCAAGTTTGCGACGAAGCAAGTGTTGTACTGACTTCAACATGAACTGCATTTGAAGACAGCTTGCATATGGGCAGAACCATAGCAATGTGTACTTTATTCGGAAGAATCTGCTTGTTCGCAACTTGTCTAACAGGTACGTCAGTTCTGCAGTTCTCTTCCATATCTCTGTGACCAAGAAACCAAAAGAGGAGTAACTTGTTTTATTGAAGAGAATTTATGAGTGTCTGCTATGGTTTTAGGATTTATCGTGATCGTGCTGCTTGATTGTCACTGAAGAAAAATATATCTTTCCTACATACCCAATCTTCGTGAACTTAATAAAGCGAATAAGCTTGAATTTCATAGCGAGTAGTGTGAGGTTTCAAAGAAATGAGATTTTTTTTCTGAAAAAGATTTTATTATAATAAAATTTTTTTGTTAATAATTTAAGCTTTGTTGATTTTGCTTAAGTCGAAGAAATTTTAAGCTTTATCAAAAATATAATTGATTTTTGTAATTTTTAATGCAATTTTAAATATTCAAGCCTAAAGAAAGAAGCAAATGTGGAACTATTATGAGTAACATCATTCAATTCAAATAAAAAGCGTGAAAAAATCTGCAATTTTATGTATTTTTTGCGAAGATTCAGTTTTATCAAACTGCAAGAAATTTCCTTTCCACCTACACGTCAATATCAAAATTAAAGAAACATTAAAAACATTACACGCTGAGTTGCTATTTTCTTCGTCATCTCATCTTTTAGTTAACTACAGTTCGTGCTTATCGTAATCGGCTTAGGGACACATTTCATTAAAATTTACTCAAACGCAAAAATATAAGACAAAATCAATATCGCTGCGATGTGGAGTAAAAAACGGTAGGAAAAGCTGTCAGTACACATATATTGACAGCAGCAAATCAAGCAAAAAAAATTAAAAATAAAGAAAATAAAGCAAAGTGAAATAAAATAAAACAAAAGTAGAAGACATCCGTCAGACATAGTCAATTTGTCGCAGTTTGTAGCCAACAACCCAAGTTTGATTACCAAAAAAAAATAAATGGAAATATGTTTTTTTTTTTGGAAAATCGCACAAAAAGTAAAAGCTCATGCAGTGCATTGGCAGATAGAGGAAAGTCCATTGTAGACATTTTCAAAGAGTCCTTTCATAGAAATTTTTGATTTCAATTAGAAGAATGAAGTCATGCTGACGCATTTCATTTACCAGATAATAATAAAGCCATTAAAACACATATGTACAAGATATTATTTTCCAAAATATATTTTCCGCCAATGAGGTCAAAAATGTTGCCAACTTTTTAAATAGATATAATAAAGAAAACATGAATTGTTGATACGCTTGATGTAATAACTTCTTTCTCAATTTTTTTATATATGTATTTATGTGTGTGTATATATATAATGTTTTACCTACTTTTTGGCAATGCAGTGAAGCGTTTTGTTGTATGATCCGGTGAAGCGCAATTAATGCCTAACTAAGTGAGCAGCGGAAATGTATGTATGTGAACGTGTGGTCTTGTATGAGATCAAATCAGCATCCGGCCACTGTTTTCTGCTGCGAGAGTTGTGAGTGGAAACCCAGTAACAAAACCGAGTATAGCATTTTAGTTACTTGGAAATAATCTTTCAGCTGAACTTAAAAATGATTTTCATGAACTGTCATAAGAGATTAATATGTATTATCTCTATATTTATTAAATAAGATTGGGAATTGCAAGTAACCAAAATAAAAAACACAAACCTAAAAATTTTCACCAAAAATTGTTTAAACAATTTTCTAAAGCGAACTTGAATACCACTTTCAAAATAATTTATATTATTCCCTTACACCGTTAAATTCATGCCTAATTCTTCGAATATATTTCAATTAAAGGAAACTAAACTACATGCTGTAACACAATTGCTTTGATAACGTTAATTGTATATGTCTTATCATCCACTTTATGTATGCTAAATATTTATGTGTGAAAGTTTTTACATCCTTCCCCTTGTGTTGCCGTGAATATATTATATAACAAATTGATATGACATTCGGTGACGACACGTATACGCACCGTTGCACACGGTTGTCAATCTACTACATCATATCCACGCACATTATATGCATGCATGTATGTCTATATGGGCATCAGTCTCTCTTCAACTCTGGCATCACACTTGGCGCGCATTAATTTTGCCTCTGCGGCGGAAATCTATTTGGTTGACTGACTGATTTCAGTTGAATGGGTCAATAAGGAAGTGAATGTGAGCAACAATACATAGACTATAAGGAGTATATAATAAGGTATATATGAGTATATGTATGTGTAAGATGTCTTAGAATAAAATTAGCTAAAGTAAAATTAAATGTTATTAAATAAACCAGAATAAAATAAAATTTAGCATAAAAGAAAAATAAAGAAAAAATTAAAATAAATGAAATAATATTAAATTAAATGAAATGAATTAAATAAAAGATATAAGGTTATTTGAAATAAAATAATATACAGAAAATTAAGGCTAAATAACCTACGCTAAAATAAAATAAAACGCTAAAATAAAATAAAATAAAATAAAACAGGCTAAAATAAAATAAAATAAAAAACATTTAATTAAAGTAAATTAAATTAAATGAAATAAAACAAAATAAAATAAAACAAAATAAAACAAAACAATATTAAATGAAATTAAATAAAATAACGTAATAAATAAAAAAACAAAACAAAATTAAATTAAATTAAATAAAGTAAAACAAAATAATATAAAACATCAAAATAAAATAACGAAAATCAGATAACGTAAAATAAAAGAATTAATAATAAAATAAAATAGAAAAAATAAAATAAAATAAAATAAGTAACATAATAAATAAAATTAAATAAATTGAATAATAGATTAAACTAAATAATAAACGAAATTAAGTTAAATTAAATAAAGCAAAATGAAATAAAAAAAATTAAATTAAAATAAATTAAGTAAATTAGGAAAATAAAATAAAATAAAAAAACGAAGTAAGTTGATGAAATAATGAAAAATAATAAAAAAAAACAAAAAAAATCAATTACAGTAATAATTTATTAATTAATAGATGTTAAATTAAAATTAAAAAAAAATGTTAAAACAAAATATATATACACTTACAAAAGGACAAAATTAAGTTGTATTCAATTCCATTATCGATTGTTCTTCTTTGGGAAAGAAATTTTACATTTAGTAATTTTTCAATTTCGTTTTGGTTGTCCTTTCGACCGCCTCTTAGTGTCCACCTGGTTTTAGTTCATAAATTTCATTGGACAACAAGTTTTCATTAAACTAAGCCGACTTGCACATCACACCGTGCTAGCCGCGCAAGGGTAAATGCTAATAAATATTCTGTATGTGCATATATGTATAAGTATATGAGTATGTAGTTTTAGTGTATATATGTATTATATCAATATTAGGATTATTAATTTGACATTAAACTTGAATGGAATGAAATGGCCGTTGATTGGTGTCATTGACAGCCGTTGCTGATGGAACACTGCGTAGTTGACAGGTTGCTTACAGCGACACACTATATACACGTATAATACAATGGCCAACACAAACTTATGGGAATACATAATATACATATGTGTGAATGTAGTTCTACGTCATTAAAGTTTACTACACCACCGTTGTGATACTGTCAAACGCCTTTCACTGTTTTACTTACACGTTGCTTTCAGCATTTTACGCATCGACAGGCATATCAGCTTAAATTTAGCTAAAGTAATTGAGTTTTTGGTAGGATGCGTCCGAACGTGTATAACGAGTAACGAGGAGCAATGTGGGGTCTGAGTTGTTTTGTGAAACTTTCACTTTTACTTAAATTATGACACCGTTAACCACAAACCCACATTTAAATATAATTATTAACATGATTATAAACGCATTTAGTTATTTATCGTGTATACATAATACATACATACACGTATTGACACACATACGTGCATATATATGTGTATGAGTGTTCATAATTTATTAAAGCTTAAACAAATTTACACCTTTTTCATTGCAGGTTCACCGGAAATGGCTTTCATTCACGCGCTCGCTGCTGCTATGGTGACCAGTTTTATCGCTCGTGCGTGTCGCGATGGTCAGTTGGCGTCGTGTGGTTGTTCGCGTGGCTCACGCCCTAAGCAATTGCACGATGATTGGACTTGGGGCGGTTGTGGTGATAATTTGGAATATGCCTATAAGTGAGTAAATTGTAGTCGCACTGCTTTATATATTTGCAAAATTTTCTCATTCAAATTTAATATTGAATATATTTTAATATCTTAACGGTATTAAAATTTTTTTTTTGTAAAGTTCATCCTTGAATATTAGATTTCGCCAGAAAGGATAAAATTTCATGTTATTATAATCAGCTGACGGCGGTCAGTACTGATGCGTGGTGGGAAAGAGTAAGAGTGACAGATAAAATAGTGGTGAAAAAGTAAGGGAGAAGCATATTGGAAAATACACAATCCACAGCCATCTGCTCCCTCTATTCGTAGTTTTATCTACAGCACCCCAAAGCAAAACCGTCAGTTTATATGTTTTCGAAAAAAATTATTGCATATCCTTTAAAAATAAGGGAATCGCTTGACTGTTTCATACAGTTTTTTTGCGTAACAATTTTTGAAGCTAACGTGCAAATAGGCGAATACGGTACAAAAAATCATGCTTATTTTTAGATAGTTTTAATAAAGGTTCATTACAAAATTAATTTTATTATAACTAATAATTATTATAAAACCGCACCATCGAATCGTCCCATGACTACGGAATACGGACTCACGGAACAAAAATTGTTGCTAATGACAATTTTGACCTTAATCAATAGCTGTAATTAAGTAAGTCAAACGATTTGAAATATAAATTTGAGTTTTTTGAATGTGTCAGTCTCGAGCCCACATCCCAGAAATTCGTTCCTTTTAGCGTGATTTGGTCATGCGCAGAACACACCTTCCAAGTTTCAGGTCTCTACGACCAGTGGTTTAGGCTAGCCGCTAGACAATCCACGCTTTTTTAATGACAATAAGACCTGACCCTGATAAAAGGGACCAACTACTTAGGAGGATAAACCAAGAAAAAAAGAGGAAAACCAACTTCTTCCGCTAGGAGCTAGATGAAGGTGTCAGCGATGCATTTCACAGTGTGGGGTTGCCTAGATTTCGGTCGGCGCAGTGACAGACCAAAGGTCGTAGGTATACGAGTAAATGCTGGTAGACTCGAAAGGATCTGCTGGAGGCCACAAGCCTCCAAGCTGGGACTTAAACGTGATTAGGCATGTAAGCGGAACTACACTAGATATTTTTAAACTTTAGTTGAAGCCCAAAATTTTAAACTTCACTAAAATTTAAGTTTTTAGCTATAAACAAACAATATACATCTTATGCCACCACATACATATGTAAGCCGCCGGAAAACTTTACTTATGGATTTTTTTTTTCCTTTTAATATCATCAGCGCTTAATTGACCACAATTTGCCACAAAGGGAATATCCTTTTTATTACTTATTTCAAACAACTAAAAACTTTAAGCAACACATGACAACAAAAAAAGAAAACAAAAATCGACCAAAAGTTGAGCAATCAAATTAAGTGACATCAGAACAAAAACAAAAAGACACAAATAATGAACAGAAACGAATTTTTAAAAAGGTTTTACGCATAAAAATCTGATGAACCCATAAAATATACTCCACGAACCCGAAACAGGGAAAGTATGAAGTTGGCAAAAAAAAAGGGCGCAGCAGTAAAAACGAAAAAAAGAATGCAAATATTACACACACGACACCCTTTTTACGGCACACGCACTCTTACACACACACGCACGCACACATGTACACTTTCTACTAGCTTTATTGTTGCAGCATATTGTTGGTTATTATTTATATGTATTTGCCTGTGGCAACTGCGGCGATGGCGCGTCGCTGCTGTTGTTGGCAACACTTTATCTTCATTTATTGTTGTTGCTGTTATTGTTGTTAGTTTTTGTTGTGGCTGCTACTGTTGGCCTCAAACGCGGATTTCACATACTTTTTTTTTTTGTATGCAAAATTGTCCATATCTGCGAATGTCGTTTGGAGAATTTTCGAAATGCGCATACTTGCAACCTTACGGAGACCCCACTACAACTCTTGCATTCCGCTGCCGACACTTTCACCTTTTACCAGCATGTACATATATGTATATATATGGGATGTATGTGTGTCTGCCGCAATCGATCGGTGCGTTGGTGTTTGTCTGCTGGGAGTATGCAATAATTTATTGTTTTTCCCGAGTTCACATATTTTTCATTTTTTGCCTTTTTTTGCAAAACCGCCATTACGCTCTGTTATGCGCACCGCACACTCACACGTACATGCTTTATCATGTAGCGTGTAATTTTAAGTGTTTGACTTACCCGTGTGTTGGCCGCTTGTGGCCATTTTTAATGCACAAATTTGACGCTTTTCCCCTGGGGTGCATAAATTATCACGGTATATTGCTCATCTGCTGCAACCCGACTCAAGCATGGCGCGCCCACAGTCAAAAACGGTGCTGCTGCACTCGAGCCCACACCGCAAGCTCTTCTGCGTTTAATATTTGCCGCAAATTTCCGCGGCGTATTTTTTTTTCGTATTTTATATATAAACTTTTTTTCATTTATTTCTTTTTCTTTATTTTATTTTTTATGCTGCCGCTTTTACTGCGCAGTTAGTTTCCAGCAACACACAAATGGATTTTTTTTATGGAAATCTATTTGCACATAGCGCAACCACTTTGGCTTTTGCTGTATGCCTGTGCGCCTCAAAATAGGCTTGTATTTACCTACTCCTCTCACATATGGGGTGAAGTGCATTTCGATTTTATCACCCTATTCTCTCCTCCCGTCGCAACAACACTTATTTGCGATGTCAGTTTACTCGCCAAATTGTATCAATCATATCGTGGAACTCAATTTGTTGTTGTTGATTGTTTTTGTTTTGGTTGCATTGTTGGTTGCTTTTTGATTTATACACTGAAATTGAGTTACACTTATTTCATTTCGCTCTTTTACTTTTTTATTTTATTTATTTATTTTTTTTCTACTTTTTGGTTTAATTTTTTTTTTATTACCACATTCAACCAGCCATTTATGTTTAACAGCACTTTTTGTTGGCTGCACATAATTCAAATTGATTTGTTTTTATTGTAGATAAACGCCGTTATTTGTGGTATAATGATAGGCAATTTGTTGCTGTATTACTTTTTACACATTGACCTTTTGGTGTTCGGTTTATGGTGTTCGTTGGTGGCGCATCAATCTTTGTGAAAAAAGAACGGTATTATATTTCCAGGTGAATGCCTTTAGAATGGGCATTTAATGCTGGCTTTTTAAAGTAAAGGGTAAAGTCATACTTTTCGTGATTGTAATTTAAATTAAAACATTTTATTTTCGTTCGAAAAGCTTTCGTGGGAAGCTTTAGGAAACTTATCCAAAAGTATATAGCACATTAAAAAAAAAAAAATTCGGAAAGATATTTTACAATATTTTTCTGACAGTTACTACCCAGATTAAATTTCTCAAATTTCTCTCTCAACATCAAAAATCTCTTTCATTGCACCTCGTAGGAGGCTTGGAGGATAGCTTGGCTTTCATACATAGACCGTTGACTGTATACTTAGAGCATACAGATAGGCTCGAGTCAAACCAATACCTGTAACCTAAATTTGTTGCATAACAAACAGACAGCCGAACGGGTTTCAAGTCGACTTACACTCCCGCTTTCTGAAAGCACTCATGCCGTGCGCAGTGCAAAAAAAGAAAGCTGCCTACATCCTAGCTTTGCGAGTAATAAAGGGGTAAACGAGACGCATGTGCAGACAAAATAAAAAGGTCAGGAATAGCTTTAGCAGCTGGCCGACAAAGGTATTGCTGGAAAATTTTACAAAAACAACCTGCGACTTACAGAAGGTTTTAAGGCCGGAGCAAACTCTGGTCGGACCCAGAGAGATGATCTAATGACGGATGCCCACAATATACTGAATTTAAAAAGGGAACTCTCCTCCAGCTTAAAGTATGGCTTAGTTTAATGTAATGAAAATTGAAGAGCAGAAAATGGTGAAACCTCTATCGATTATTTCGGTGCAGATGTTCTATAACCCGTGCATGAAGAAGTTCAAATAGCCATCGCTCGCTTGAAAAACAACTAAGCGGACGATGGACCGATGACTTGTCGGCAGAGCTAGTCAAATACGGTGATGAAGAGTTGAAAGTTTATACATCAGCGTCTTTGTAATATTTGTAGGATTGGAAGCATTTCCGGCGAAACTTAGGTATTCTCTACCGAATCCAGTGATCTACGACCACAATTATGGTCACCATGACATCGATCAACGCTCGTCTATGATGAAACTGCATATTTAAAAAGTGAGTTAAGTTTATAACACACGTCGAAAATGGTAAAAAAAATTAATCGCATGAAAATTTTCGCGATTTAACTTAATTTTTTGGACCAGATGAATTTTTTTAAGTTACTGTAAACAACACAAAAAGCGTTCGTGTGTCAAACCGTTTTGAGTATTTACAACATTAAAAATGTCAAACTTCGTACTATTGAGCTGTCAGTTGCCAGATTGCAACGCTGGGTTGCCAAATCATAAAATATAAAAGGCATCCCTCGTGCCAAGTAATGGTTGTTTTTCAGACTTTTCTAGTATTTCTGCTTAGATAACGCAGTGTTTTTTGAATTTGATTTGTCTCTTTTTGACTGAGCCATTGCCTCATAGCTTTTGGTTGGCCTATATAGTCTTAAAGACACTTATAAATTCGAGCAATTTATATTTTTATGTGTGAAAATTATTTAAATTATATTTAATTTATTAAATTTATTATCTTTCTAATGGACCAAATATCTGCCGATTGTTAACATATTTATTAATTTATTATTTATTTATTTATTTTTTTTTTATTATTGGCTCTCGCACATAGTCTTCAATATCTACTCATAATTCTATCCTAGATAAATATTTTCTTATTGCCACAATAATACTTATAAACATAAATTCAATAAGAAACAAACTTTTACAAATCATCCTTTCGGCGAAAAATTGTCAATAAATGCACAAAAGTGGCGTAAGCAAATATATAAACAACAATAAAGGAAAAGGAAATCATCACTTGTATCCGAGAATAGCATATAACTTAGTATATTACGACATTCTTACATACATATACACCTGCATA